CAGTATTGCAGACTAATTCTGCCCACAGCCAGCAGTTCAATCCTGACTGACTGGCTCAAGGTTGACTCATCCTTCCATCCTTCTGAAGTGAGGACCCAGATTGTTGGGAACAAAAGGCAAACTGCTTAAACAGGGCTGTAAAGCACTGTGACACAGTATATAAGTCTCAGTGCTGTTCCTTCCTTCCTTCCTTCCTTCCTTCCTTCCTTCCTTCCTTCCTTCCTTCCTTCCTTCCTTCCTTCCCTCCTTCTTTCCTTCCTTCCTTCCTTCCTTCCTTTCCTTCCTTCCTTCTTTCCTTCCTCCCTTCCTTCCTTCCTTGTTTTCTTCCTTCCTTCCTTCCTTCTGGTTAGAATGCAGTATTGCAGACTAATTCTGCCCACAGCCAGCAGTTCAATCCTGACTGACTGGCTCAAGGTTGACTCAGCCTTCCATCCTTCTGAAGTGAGGACCAAGATTGTTTGGGGGGCAAGAGCAGAGGTGGGTATTCAGCCGGTTCTGATCAGTTCTGGAGAACCGGTAGCGGAAATTTTGAGTCGTTCAGAGAACCGGCCAATCCCACCTCTGACTGGCCCTCATCTCTTCTCTGCCTCCCATTGAATCCCAGCTGATCGGCTGGATCTTCTTGGGTTGCCCTGCAGAGGAGAACAGAGCTGGAAAGCAGGTTAGTGGGATGGGGAGGGAATGAGATTTTGCAGTATCCTTCCCCTGCCACGCCCACCAAGCCACGCCCACAGGACTGAGAGTAAAAAAAAAATTTGAATCCCACCCCTGGGCAAGAGGCTGACTCTGTAAACTGCTTAGAGAGGGCTGTAAAAGCACCGTGAAGCAGTGTGTAAGTCTAAGGGCTATTGCCATGGCTTCCAACATTACTATCCTTTTTGCACCGTTGTTAAGCAAATCATTGCAGTTGTTAAACGAATCTGGCTTCCCCATTGGCTTTGCATGTCGGAAACTTGGCTAGGAAGGTGGCAAGTAGAGATACGCCCTGGATGTTTGAAATACAAGCACCTGAATTTTGATCAGGTGAACGTGATGGCCATAGGTGCGAGGCTGCTTGCGAGTCCGATTTTTTCAGTGCTATCGTAACTTTGAACGGTTGTAAGTTGAGAACTACCTGTAGAAAAAAAAATTTTTCACCACCACCCCGAACTAGAATATTGTTTCAAAAACACAATCATGCAAAAATGCCACCACTGCTGGGCGCCACAGCCTCATAAATCAAGCCAAAAATGCTACAATAGCATGCACGTTGCACATTGTGCGTTCACCACACAAATCACTGCACCGATCTGCCATTCGCATCCTACCCAGTGTTCACAGGCCTGACAAAAAGAAACATCAAAGGAAAAGTCGTCATTGAATACTCCTCCAAACCATTTTTTTTTTAAAAAATAATAATAATAATATTAAATTCCTTGGCAGTTTGGAGCAGTTGAAGGATTTAATGCAAACCCCCAAAGTTAATTGCATTCTTGGTTTTGGGTCTTTCTCTCCCATATAAAGCAGGGGACTCCAACCTTGGCAATTTTTAAGACTTGGGACTTCAACTCCCAGAATTCCCCTGCCACGAAGGGGAATTCTGGGAGTTGAAGTCCACAAGTCTTAAAAGTCAGTTTACTTTATTGTCGTTGCACCTCGTAGAATGAAATTAAATGCCATCTTCAGTGTATATTATAACTATCAAAAATAAAACACAAACGCACAGCCTTCGCATTCTGTACAATTGAAGTTAAAACCCCTGATATTGCATTGATATTGCACAATGCAGTAGAATTAAACAGAACTCCTGCCCTGGGATAGAAGCTGTTTTTCAGCCTATTTGTCCTTGTTTTTATTATTCTGTACGGTCTGCCAGATGGTAACAGTTAAAAAAAAAAGGGTTCCCAGGATGAGATGGATTTTTGAGAATGTTTTGAACTTTCTTAAGGCAGCGGGAGCTATAAAGCTCTTCCAAAGAGGGGACAGGACAACCCATGATCTTCTGGGCAGTGATGTTAACCCTCTGGAGTACTTTCCTATCTGCCCCTGGGCAATTGGCAAACCATACGTAACAGAATAGAATTCTTTATTGGCTGTGTGATTGGACACACAAGGAATTTGTCTTTGGTGCATATGCGCTCAGCGTCCATAAGAAAATAAAATAAAATACATTCATCTAGAATCTAGTCATAGGTTACTAATACGCAATCAAAACATACTAGGAAACAAGTGAAACAATCTAAATTATAAAGATAGTCATAAGGTTACCAATAAGTTATCAAATTATACTAGGAAACAAATAAAGCAATATAAATTGTAAAGATAGTCATAGGGTTACTAATAAGTAATCAAAACATACTAGGAAAACAAATAAAACAATATAAATTGTAAAGATACAAACAACATGGTTATAGACATAGGTGGGAAGAGATAGGTAATAGGAAGGATGAGAAGAAGAATTGTAATACAGTCTTACTAAGTAGTTGGACAGTGTTGAGGGAATTATTTATTTAGCAGAGTGATGGCATTCGGGGGGAAACTGTCCTTGTATCTAGATTAAAATACTAAGTTAAATACTAAGTTAAAATATTCTCTCTGTTGCAATGGTAGAAGGTTGCCAAGGTTGGAGGCCCAATCATAAAGTCTCTGACTCTGGAAATAAATATTTTCTATTGTTTTGAACAATGCACCAGACTTCTGGAATTACAAGACTTTCTCCCGCACATTTGAGCAAGGAATAATTCTCGCAGAGTCTTCCAATAATTCTACGCAAGGCAGGAAATCCTGACCTGTTTCTAGAGGCCAAAATTTGACCGGAGAAGGCCAAGGAAGGGCACTAGAACCCCTTTGCAATTTAAATTTCTATTTGTGTTCCGACATGTGCTAGGTCACAACCTCCCCGTGTGCCCTTCTCTCTGTGTGACAGACACTCACTTGAAGTTGATGTTGGCGCACACTAAGACGTCATTCAAAAGAAAGACCTTGCGTTCCTTGGATTTGATTAGTTGACCTCGGTCGCCATAAACCGTCTCTGTCAGGGTCTCACAGAATAACAGGTGCCGTTGCCCCGAATTTAACAACTGGGGGGAAAGGAAAACAAAGTGAAAAATGAAATTACAAAGCAAAACAGAACCGTGGCCTTATCTGAAAACGACACGGGCGGGGGAAAAAAAGCTCTGCTTTTAAAGGCTATTTTCCCTGGAGGAAAAAGAAAAATATTGGATGGGAAAATAAGGAACCGTACTTCTGATATTGTTCGTGAACATGGTTGATTTCATCATTGTTTGTTGAAGAACCAAAGGCCAAGTCACAGAATTAATAGGTTTTTAAAAAAAAAAATTAAAGGATTGCTTTGCTCGGAGGAAGCAAATTAAGGTGTAAAAGGACGTGTTTGTTTAAGCTGTGAAATGGATCATTTACTTTAGAGGTTGTGTTTGTTGAGAGAGAGTCAGACAGACACACAGACAGTCAGACAGAGGTAGCTAGTTAGCTAGAAATAGAGGTAAATGGATGAATGGATAGGTAGGTAGGTAGAGAGAGAGAGAGACAGACGGACATATATTGATAGAAGGTAGATAGATAACTGATAGAGAGAAAGAGAGTTGAGAGATATAACGGCCCAGCAAAAAATGACTTTATGACCCTTTTTCACACGTCTGTTGCAGCATCTCATCAGTTGCGTGATCAAAATTTGGACACTTGGCAACTGACTCGTATTTATGACGGTGGCAGTGTCCCAGGGGGGTCACATAATCCCCTTTTGCGACCTTCGGACAAGCCTTGCTCAACAACCGGGTTACTAGCTTAACAACCGCAGTGAGTCACTTAACAATCTTGGCAAGAAAGGTGGCTAAATGGGGCAAAACTCACGGAGCAATTGTCTCACTTAGCAACGGAAATTTCAGCCTCAATGGTGGCCATAAATCTCTTCAGAAGCGGTGGGAGGTTCATCTCAAAATCAATCCAGATGCCTCAAAGCTTAGAGCCCCTAAGCGTTAAAATTGTTCTCTCTGCTTGCATGGTTCTTTCCAATTTGGGGTGAACCCTAAAATTATTCCAGGAACTGTGATGACCCAGGGTGGGATAAAAATAAACAAAGTCACAAAAACAGACGAAGCCGCTTTAATTCCTTCAACTTGGCTTCAAAGCTCCAAATCTCCTTGACTGGAGACAAAAAACTCCCCCACAAGCAGTTGCAAAACAGGAGGAGATACCGTTTAAACTAAAAATATCTATAAATTATAACTAGAAAAAACAACCACAAACGACACTGAAGCCGTTAAGGGAACCAGACAAGATAAGGGCTTGAAGACGTCCACAGATATTGGAACACACACCAGGAAGGACACCAAACTCAGTAAGAACGGACAGACTAGAAATATTTTCACACTTTTTTTCCAGCACTGGCTCATGCGCAATCCGTCCTTTTAACCAGTTCTCACAGCTGCAGCCCATGAAGGGGATCAAGGCCCTTTCCTCCCCTGTAGACCACGCCATACACATTTCTGTCTTATCCTCTCCTCCCTTCCTGCCCTAGGATGGAGAGGGGATGGGCCTGGGTCCTCCTCTGACTGCCCAGCCGGCCTCTGCCCTTCCCCAGCCTCCTCCACAACCTCCCGAGCCACACTCCCACTCCCCGTCCGCTGTTTCTCCTCTCCCTCAGATTCAGTCTCCAACAGGGGCATGACAGGAACCAAAGAGGCAACCAAGTTTTCTGAAGTTGTAAGTCCACCAGATGGGTCCGGATGACAACCATACTTGGATGCGTGGAAGTTGTCATCGGAAGACATCCAGAAGGAAATTGGAACTGACCACTGGGCCGGGCGTCCTGTTGAGAATCACCTACCTTATGGAGATGGCTGCGGTCACTGACGCTCTTGGTCAACTGCTGGATCTCAGCCACCTGGTCAGCCAACCTCTTCTGCTCATTGAGCTTCTCAGCCAAGGTCTCCAGTTCTGTTAGGGCGAGCTGGAGGGACAAGCGGTCAGCGTGTCCTTTTGGGGTGTTCTTCAGCATATCCTGGTTAAGAGGGAAGAAAGAGCAAAGTTAGCAACAGACGAGTCAATTGAGGGCCGTCTGAGATCCATGCTGAGTTCCACTCTAGAAGTTTCCTCAACATGCCAACCCAACCCTTTCCCTCTGCTTGGCGTAACCTAGATCAAGGGTCTTCAAACTTGGCCAAGTTTAAGGCTTGTGGACTTCAACTCCCAGAATTCCTAACATGACTGGAGGAGGAATTCGGAAGTCCACAAGTCTTAAAGCTGTCAAGTTTGAAGACCCCTGACCTAGCTCCATGTTTCTCAACCTTGCAAACTAGAAGATGGGTAGACTTCAACTCAAGCGGGCTGGGGGAATTCTGGGAGCTGAAGTCCACCCATCTTCCAATGGTTGAGAAACATGGTTCTAGAAGTTCTTCCCTAATTCAGGAGCCCAAGGGAACAAAAATGGTACCTGGAGTAGGAGGATAAACTGGGGGAACCTTTGTATGGGCTTCACCATCAAGCCGTAGAGAGTGACCCGGTCAAGGCTGGCCATCTGTTTCTTCTGCAAAAAGAAAGTTATAATTGCTTGGTTGAGAGGTGGACGTCTCTTCTTCCTTCTCCAATGTATCTGTGGGCCTATCATGGAGGTGTCACATCTCAGCAAGGCTTGTCCTATTCAATGTCAACTCTCCTCTAGGGCCACCTCATCACTCCTTATCATCCATCCCCTCCCACTTGCGACTGTGACTGTAACTTTGTCGCTTTATATGGACTGTTTCCTAGTATGATTTGATTGCTTATTGTACCCTATGACTATCATTAAGCGTTGAACCTGATGATTCTTGACGAATGTATATTTTCTTTTATGTACACTGAGAGCATTTGCACTAAGACAAATTCCTTGTGTGTCCAGTCACACTGGGACAATAAAGAATTCTATCTACCTATCAACAATCCCATCTTGCCAACTGAATGAATTCAGGGTGGGATGGAGAGTAAACCATTCTACTCTACAACTATACCCTGAAGTGGGCTTTGGATCCAGAAATTCTTCAGCTGCGTCCAATTTTGCATATTTCTCCATTGTTTATCAAAAAAAAAAAAAAAAACCAACAACCCAGCCCCGAATGAGTGGAGCAAGAGATTAGAGCCAAATTATTAATTTGTATACTTCTAAACTCAATGGCAGAAAGCAAACACAATTTTTCATTATCCCCGTTAGATCCTCACGACCCATTCATATTCAAATGCAATTTAGCCGCAGAATGGATTAGTTAACGAATCCAATTATCTTTCATTCCAGTCGTTGCTTTCCTAACCCATCGAAACCGCCGTCACCATCTCAATAGCTGAAATCTCAAGGACAAGAGGAGACGCCTTCATCTGTTGAACTTCAGACGGGTGAAGGGATGGAGAGATAACCATTGTGTATACGGCGAAACTCTATGACCACTAAACTAAGATTTGTTCTGACCAAGGCTTCTTGAGACGCTAACAAACACATGTTAGTCCCCAAAGCCCTTTTCCTTTATTTCAAGGGCTGTGAATTTTAGTCATTCACAGCCTGCAATGAGTCTCAAACCGTTTGTAAATAGTCCCATGGAAGCCTCCCAAAGTCCTACAGGATAAGTCTGATAAGCACGCACCTTTATCTTCCTTGAAGTGCTGCCAACGACTAAATTTCCAATTAGTGATACAACTGGAGCACAAATTCAACATCGAGCACAAATTCAATAGCGCGCGTCAGGTTTCAAACCGACCAGTATGAACAAAGTTGCTTCCTGCAAAGGCTCCTGTCCCTTTGCTCTTCCTTTATGTCTTATGGGAGGGCCAACCACCTCCAAGCCTTACTCTTGAGTCACCCCCTTTTGTCTTAACTGTTCTTGCCTTCTGGCAGCTCTGCGCAAGCATGCACACTGGGAACAGGCTCCCCTTATTTCTCTGCCTCGCTGCTGCCAGATCTTGGAGGTTCCAGAGTCAGCACAGATGGCCCTGGACCCATCTCTGTATCGGACACAGGACCCTCTTCCGAAACTTCCCCAGACTCCTGGACTGCATGTTCCCCACCACTGTCTGACTCTGCTGCCATCTCCGCAGGCTGCCGACAGACCACAACCAGATTAACCCCTTGATGGGTTCTGCCCCAAGGTCCAGGGCTTTTGTGATGTCCATTCTTCTTACCTTGAGGAACTCCAAGAAAGCTGGTTTGGTCAAGCAGGCCTTCTTGATTAAAGACATGGCACTGGTGAAGTTGTTGACGTATTCACTGTACACATCCAAGACCATGGACTTGGAGAACTTAGGAGAAAGAAACGCAGGACAGTGAGACCCACAAGATTCATTTCCAGGGTTCCCTCTAGATCTTTGAGATGGGCGGCCATATCCACGTCTCAACGCTGCTCACCGAGGCCACGAAAAGGTCGCCAATCTTCTCCATGGAGTCCCACTCAACCACCCGGGAAGACAAGGCGATTTGGAACATGGAGTGGCACTGGAGGATCTCTTTGACCCGGAAGAAGACTACTTGGCATTTCCTGGCACTGAGGACTTTGGGCTCCATCTCCATCAAGGGGTTCCTATAATCCTGTTTGGAAGACGACGGGAGACAATGGTCAACTCGTAAAATGTTTCTATGGACTTTTCAGAGTTCTGCTGACAGAAAGGGAGGAGGGAAAGGGTTTTTTTGAAAGAGCAGCATGGCAGCTTGGAAAGCGAAACTGCATTCCATAAATAGTTTTTCAAAGATAGTAACTAGGCGACTGAAGTTTCTGCCGGGCAAAATTCTAATTGGAGAACGTGATTGACGACTCTGGGCTATGGATGTGTCCCATTGGAGAATATGAATTAGGATACACCCAGGGGGTGGGGTGGGGAATGCCAGGGTCAAGGGTGACCATGAATGATGTGTCTCAGAGTCGGCTACACCCAGGCAGCGCCGGACATGTTAACTCCCAATAAATCCTTTTGAAGTTTTGGAAGTTTGGCTCGAGACTCATCAGTGGGGTAACTGCCGGAATCCTGACAACTCCTTTGATAACCGATCCATCTTTTGGGTTATCATACTGATGTACAGGTAGTCAAAGATTTATACTTTTACAAGGTTCAAAGTTGAAACTGGACTGAAAAAAAGTGACTAAGGACCGCTTACCATACTTACGAGCGCTTATAGTCACGTGATCAAAATGCAGCTGCTTGGCAACTGACTCATATTTATGACGGGGTCACGTGATCCTCTTTTGTGACCAAAGTCAATGGGGGAAGCAGTGATTCGCTTAACAACCGTGGCACGAAAGGTTGTAAAAGGAAGGCAAAGCTCACTTAACCAATGCCTCATTTAAGAACAGAAATATCGGGCTCAATGGTGGTCGTAAGTCGAGGACTACCTGTGTTACAAAGCCAGAATTTGCAAGAGATTTGGCTTCCTACCATTGGCCCAAAGGGCACCCAGAGAGCATCTCTTCTCGAGAACCCCCCCCCCAAAAAAAAGACCAAATACCTGTAAAATGCGCCTCAGCGAGTCCACATAGCTCCTCTCGCTCTGCACAATGGAGCCCAGGATGTGACGTCGTATGACCTGGGAAAAAAGAAGAGAGCCGTGGAATTAAGCCCTTGGGGGCAGCTTGTGGAACTCCCCACCACAAGAAGGGATTCACCAGCTCAGGTAGTGTTTGTCTCAAAACCCCAAACATCTCCTGGAGGGTTGGTTTGCAGCCGATAGGGGCCTTTGCAAAAAGAAGGCCCAAAATCCCAAATAAAGAACTCAGTTGTCCTGCCCCTGTCAGAGTCTAAATCCGAGGAGGAAGACGAACAGCTGACAGGGTGTGAGAGTGTGGCTCCATTGGCTGTGGAGGAAACTGGACAAGGGCAAAGTCCGGCTGGGAAGAGCAGACAAGAGGTAGAACAAGGGAGAGGGAGTTCAGAGGAAGACCCAGGCCCATCCCCTCTTCATCCTAGGGCACGCAGGGAGGAATGGAGAAGGGAGCAATGTGGGTTGTGTGGCTTACGGGGGAGGAAAGGGCCCTGATTCCCTTCATTAGCCACACCTGGGAATGAGAATTTAAAAGAAATGGACGCTGAGTGCATCAGCTGGTGGGAGCAAACGTGAGCTTATCTTGTGTTGACTTTGGTTATCTGTGTTCCTGTTGTTTCCCCAAGCGTGTTGAGTTATTGCCATTCCTTCACGTCTGGAATTCCTTCTCTTCCTCTGCCAGACTAATGACCTCATCTTGCCTTGATTGAACTTAGAGTTACAGTTTGTGTTGACCACGTTTTGGACTTGATTCTCTGCAGCCCAAGGCTGTTCCTGGGAGAGTTTTTCTCCAGCCCAGAAGGTAACCTGGACACTGGGGGCGAAGTTGGAGCTAATAAAGGGACTCCTACTGATTATCTGACTGGGTTGCCTTTGTGCCACACGCCAGGTCATCACACCAGTTCAACAAAATTTAGATTTCAGGTTGGACCACCTAAACAAACCTGCTGTGAGTTTAACCCTTCGGGCATCGGGCCCAACTCCGGCAGCTGTTTGGCCTCTGAAACTGGTACCTCCAAGAATCCCAAATCTTCTTCTTCAGAATCCCCTGAGGAACGAAAGCAGGTATAATAAAAATGAAAGCGACTCCAACCTTGGCCACTTTAATGTCTTGTGGACTTCAACTCTTCAACGACTTTCCTGGCTGTGGAACTCTGGGAGTTGAAGTCCACAAGTCTTAAAGTAGCCAAGGCTGCCTTAACGCATTTGATGAACGCTGTTAATATCCACAAAAGCAACGCGAAGCGACGTGGGTTAAACGTCACAGTCTCGAGCAGAGATGCGTCACAACACACTTCCAACATCGCACACATCCCCGTCCCTGGACAAGCCTCCTTGCTTCTAGTCCTCAATATCAGACCGCCGGAGAAACAGGCAAAATCAGAAGGAAATTCAAGCCGACGACATACAAACGTATTATTATTATTATGAGTCTGGCAATTTTGCATTCCTTGAGCAGCATTCATTGGCGCACTGTTTCAAAGTCCCAGACGGAAAAAAAAAGAAAGAAAGAAAGAAACCGTCTCAGTTTTGCAAAACGACCCTTCTACTAGCACCGACGGATCCATGGGCGCGAAGTGACTCAGCAAAAGTCTGTCCCCTTGGGCATGGTTGGCACTGCCAGTGGGAATCCAAGAAGATTCCTGGATGGGCAGCGCCGCCAAAGCGAAGTCAACAAAGGCAATCAACCAAAAACGGAACCGTTTTTACACAGCCGCATTTTGGGGGGAAGGGGTTTGCGAAGAAAACACAGAGAGGCAGCATCTTAACTTGGTGCCCAAATCAGGGGCTGACTGGCCGGGAGCAAAAGGAGGAACGAGCGACTCTAGCAAGTAAGCCAAGCTGCATTCTTTGGGGAGGGATGGAGGAGCCTTCAAGGGTGCTGGATGGGCAGCGGGGGAGATTTGATTTTGATTCTTGTTCCAAGTGTGCCAGCCAGCCCTACCCCAACCAGGTTTTAAAGAAATCGTTATTGCACAGAAGAAAAAAATATAAATCAATAAAAGATAAAATAAAAATAAAAGAACAACCAGGCTGCAAATGAATTCACTTCCCACAATGACAAAGGAAATCCTTGCCAAGGTAGATAAAGCACCAACAGGCCACTCAGGACGCGATGCCACCAAGCTGGCTGAACCTTGGCACCGGACTGCAGCCCCAAAGAGAAACCCACCACCCAAGCACAGGTGGGGGGAAGAGACGGGCCAGTTGCCTGGCCTTACCTGAGTGCGAGGAAGAGGAGGAGGAAGAAGAGAAGTGAACGATCACATAATCCTTGGCTCTCCCCCGATGCCGTTTCCTCCACATCTTATCCGTGGGAGCAGTTCTCCCCTTCCTGTCATTCAACCAAGCCCCGAAACTTCCTCTTTCTCGAAACTCAAGAGGAAAACTCAGTTGAGTCGGGGGCTCTCCATCCTCATTGAAAAGGGCCCAGGGTACCAGCAGGACCCCGGGGAGATCCAAGCCGGCAGCATTGGGGAGGGGGGGAAAATGAAGCGCGTGAGCCACTCGGGGCGGGTTGATGACCAGAATAGCTCAGTGATGGCAAGGCTGACCTTTCCTTCCCTAATTTTGGGAACAGCTGCCGGGCTCACTTGGGAGAGCTGCCATCGGGGGAGGCGGCTCAGAGCGGAAACAGCTTGAAAGGAGAGGGAGGGGAAGGGTCTCCAAAAACATCCTGTGGGGGAAAGACCATCTTTAAAAAAAAAACCACTGGGCATATCGCTCTTGCAGACCCCAGTCCACACAAACCCTGCCAGGAAAGAAAGAAAGAAAGAAAGAAAGAAAGAAAGAAAGAAAG